GGCGGCGCGGGCGGCGCGCACGCACGACGCGCGCACGTCGGGCTCAGAGCCGCGGACCACGGCCCCGCCCGGTTCGCCCGGCCCTAGCTTTGTTGGTGTCCGAGGCTCGGCTTTTCGCAGCGTTTTAGGGCGGCAGCTTCTCCCACTGCGTCCTCCCCGCGGTCCCTTTGGCCCACCCTGAGGCTCAGGAGCCTAGCCCACCCTCAGCCGCTGCTCGGTTCTTGACAACCTTTGCTCCCGGAGAAGGCCTTTGCCTGGCATCTGGGAGAACCTCGCCCAGGGCGGCCCGCCACAGGACCTGGCTCCGACCTGAGAGTGACCGAGGAAGGGACTGAAGTTCAGACAGAGGGTGGAGGCGGAGAGTTGTTTCACAAGCAGCCCTAGAGAACGTCTATCCTAACCTTGTGCGAGGGACTCTTGGTGGGACATGGGGCGTGAGGCCTCCTCTGGCTAGAGCTTGGGGTTGGCAGCCAGCAAGGTAGCAGGGTCACTTGGCTGGCAAGAACCATTGAGGGCCGCCAGCCAGCCACCAAATGGGGGTGCCCTCCCATACACCTATCCCAGCAAAGAAACTGCAGTAGAGAGCCCCCCTGGGTCTGGGGCGGCCACATTTTCCCAGAATTCAAGGGACTGATGTGGGCACATGCGGAAATGAAGGAGGCCACATAGCCTTCAAATGACCTGATTTAAGTTTTAGCAACTGCTTAGCCCCTCTTTTTCCTCCTTTCCAGGCAGTCACCTATGGAGTGGGGGAACTGGAGGCAGGGAAGCAAAAACGGTGCCCTTCAAGCTTTTGTCCTTTCCAGAAACTAGAAGGGGTGGGGGAGGCCTGTAACGGGTGGACTTCTCCCTTCAGGTCTTCAGACATGGCTGTCCACTCCTTCCCTGTCCCCACAGCTCTTCCTGCAGACTCTTTTTTCCTGAGGATCCTATTAAGATCGTCCGGGGCCGAGGGCAATACATGTATGATGAACAGGGGGCGGAATACATCGATTGCATCAACAATGTGGCTCACGGTCAGTACCATCCCTCAGTTTAGGCAGGGCAGGAGAGGAGGCCGAGGCTGTGAACCCGGCCCAAGGGTGATTGACAGGTGCAGAGAACTTGGGTTGAGTAGAACAGAGGAGGGACAGTCTCTGGTGTAACTGTAGAAGTTTCCAAGTGGGAGCTATGCTAAACCCGGCAGGAATCAGAGAGCAGCTGTCAGCCCAGCCATGACCAGCAAAGCAGCAGGGCCCTGGCCAAGTGCTGGGGGCCATGGCAAGGCTTCAGCCCCAGTGACCATCTCAGGTCCTGGGCGAGGCAACTAAAGGAGGAATTCAGTTATCCAGATGGAGCCGCCAGAGCGATGGAAAACGATTATGTGACTCAGCAGGACCTTGGAGTTTAATAAAGTAGAGGCTAAAAGCAGGAATTCTAGTCCCAGACTGCCTGGGTTCATACCCCCATCCTTTATTTACTAACTTGGTAACCTTGGGCAAGTTACTTAATTCTCTGTGCCTCAGTTTGCTCATCTGCAAAATAGACATAATAACAGGTACCCACTTCAAGGTATTTCAGAAGATTAAGTGAGTTAATTCATGTAATTTGCTTTGAGTGTGCCTGGGATCAGGCACACATTGGGTGAGCTCCCAGTACATGTTCGCTGTTAGTATAATCTCTGGCCACTGGCACTCATTACCCCCAGCCCCCACTGACTAGTGAGATCAAGCCTGCTGACAGATACCCCCAACCCCCTTCATACCCCAAAACACCCCCCACCAAAGATGGGTTTCTAGATAGGGTTTCTGCCAGATAACTTTTTCTTTTGCCAGAGTCACAGGTCTTTCTAGGTCTTGCTAGACCTTTCCAGGTCTCCCTTTCCAGAACTAGCATCTCTGTCTCCCCTTCTGTCTTCAGACTTCCCTCTTTCCTCTCCACCCTTCCTTCTGGCCGGGTTTACAGATTGGGTCTAGGGGAGGCCCGGTGGGATTGGCTGAGTAGAGCCAGCTGTGTGATGGAGGTGGCCTTCTTCCAGTTGGGCACTGCCACCCTTTCGTGGTCCAAGCAGCACACGAACAGAACCAGGTGCTCAACACCAACAGCCGATACCTGCACGACAACATCGTGGATTATGCACAGAGGCTGTCTGAGACCCTGCCGGAGAAGCTCTGTGTGTTTTACTTCCTGAATTCTGGGTGAGTGCACTGCAGCTGGCACCAGCAAGAGAGTAAGAAGACAACAAAGGGAAGTGTTCACATGTGTGCGTTGTGGTGTAGCCGACCAAGTGTGGACTAGGGGAGAGGTAGCCCTCACTGCGCGGGTGCCTGGGCTTCCCAGCCGTAGACCCTGGTGCTTACTCGGTCGGACCCAGTGTCCTGGTCTCTTAGTAAGGGATGCCATTACCTCCCTTCCAGGGTGCTTGTTGGGGTTTAGCGAAGTGATGTGTTCCTTTATTACTGTCTCACCTCAGGCTGCCATAACAAAACACCACAGACTAGGAGGCTTAAACAGCAGACATTGAATTTCTCACAGTTCTGGAGGCCAGATCCAAGATCAAGGTGTCAGCAGGGTTGGCTTCTTTGAGGTCTCTCTCTTTGGTTTGCAGAAGGCCACCTTCTTGCTCTCTTCATGTGGTCTTTCCTCTGTGCGCATCATCCCCTGGTATCTCTGTGTCTAAATTTCCTCTTCTTATAAGGACATCACTCAGGTTAAATGACTGCCTATCCTGACGGCCTCGTTTTAACCTAATCACCTCTTTAAAGGCCCTGTCTCCAAATACAGTCACATTCTGAGAATTGGTGGTTAGGGCTTCAAAGTATGACTTGTGCGGGACACAATTCAGCCCATAGCACCTCCTTATCTAAAGTAGGGCCCCATCTGGTTCTCTTGGGGCACTCATCAAACTGATCATTCTTTGATTTTATTGGCTTTCATGGCACATACTAGAATATAAGCTCCAGGAAGCTCAGGGCCTGTCTGTTGTACTTACTATTTTTGCCTCCAGCTCTAGCACACATAAGGCATTTGAAAAATTTGTACCAAATGACTAACAAATGATGTCCTGAATCTTCTTGCTGCTCATAGGCCTCCGCCTTCCCTTGGGTATCCCTGTAGGAAGCTGGTCTCCAGGAGGAAAAGCCCTTGGACAGCTGTCTGAGCAGTGCCCACCTTTTCTGTTATAGGTCTGAAGCCAATGACCTAGCCCTGAGGCTGGCCCGTCAGTACACAGGACACTGGGACGTAGTCGTCTTAGATCAGTAAGTGCTGTTCCCAGAATCCTGGGCCTGCCGCTTACTGAGGATTAGCAAGGCTCTGACTTTCGGTACCTTGGGCAGGAAGGATGAGGGGCCATGGATACAGAGACACTCCACACACACACCAGGGACTCTTTCCCCAGGTCTCTTCTGGGAGGGCAGCTTCTGGCGGCAGAAAAAGCTTTGGGAGGGGGTGAGTGTTGTGTTGGTCCCACATTTGAGGTATTAAAACTGTTTTGACAGTGGCTCCCATGTATTAAGTATCTGTTGTACAAGGCCCAGGCCCAGAGTTAGAGCCTGAGCACATTTCAGATTCATTACAACACTAAGGAGAAGACCCCCCACTTTACAGAAGACAGAACTGACCCCACAGAGCCTGATTAGCCACCGTTACACAGCCACTAAGCAGCCTCGCGGGAAGTCCTGCTGAGTCCACGGCCTGTGGTTGTTCCCAGCCGGAGGACCCGGGGGGCTGTGTCAGAAAGCTTTGTCTTCCCTGTGTGTCTCCTGAGGTGGGTAGAGAGTTGTCAAGTCCAGGCCAGGCACACGTGCCACCTGGGCCTGAGCCCACCCTCCCTTTTCCTCCCCAGTGCTTATCACGGTCACTTGAGCTCCCTGATTGACATCAGTCCCTACAAGTTCCGCGACCTGGATGGCCAGAAGGAGTGGGTCCATGTGGTATGCACAGCCCAAGGGGGTCCCAGGTCGGTGCCCGCCCCCAGCCTGGATGACACAGCACTGTCATTCCACACAGGCACCTCTCCCGGACATCTACCGAGGCCCCTACCGGGAGGACCACCCCAATCCAGCTGAGGCCTATGCCAGTGAGGTGAAGCGCATGCTCAGCAGCGCACAGGAGCAGGGCAGGAAGGTAACCACATCCGCACAGGTCCAGTCCAGGAAACAGTCACCAGCCAGTGCTAGAGACTGGGAATGCTAAGAGACTCAGAACCTGGGAATCTTGGGGGGGGGGGGGGGTCATTGTTCATCAGAGTTTAGGTAGAGATGTATCCTGGGCATTACAGGAGTCCCAGGGCCCAGGCTGGACTCATGTGGGTGTGGGGAGGGTCCTTGGAGGAGGTGCTGCCTGATTTTAGTAATATAATGTGAGTAGGACTTAGCCACTCAAGGTGGGGTGGGGAGTAGAAGAGGAAAGGCATCCTGAACAGAGGGGCAGCCTGTGTGGACATGAGGAACCACGTGAGTGTGGGGCCAGGCTGAGCGGGCAGGAGATGAGCCTGCAGAGGCAGGCAGGCCATGTGCCAGAGGCCCGCAGCAGCCCTGCTGAGGGCCTGGAGGCCATGGTGAACCTTTGAAGGGTTGTCAGAGGGAGGGTAATAGACCAGGGGTGCACTTGAATGGGGCCAGCCCGAGGGTAAATGAGCAATGGGGGGGGGGGCCCCAACCCAGGGCAGTGTAGTAGAGACAGAGGGCAGGAAGATGTGTCATACCCCGGAAGAGCAGCGGCTCGCTGGCAGGCCTCACAAGGAGTGACAGCCGAACTCAGGGTATATGGTGAAGATAGGCAAGCTACGAGGCCAGATCAGGGAAACCTGGCCTATGAGTTCCTGTGCTCTGCACCCACTTATGTAAAGGCAGAAAAGAGACTGCTCTGGTGGCAGCAAGGGTGGGGAACCGGTTTTTCACCCCATTGGCCTTTCCTTCATCCCGGCAGCAGCCACTGAAGCAACTCCAAGGCACAACAGTTTGGAAGTCATTGCTGTAAGCAAAAGGGGTCATGGAAGGGCTTTAAATAAGACAGCCACGAGCTCAGTGTCTGGATTAAGGCAATCACTCTGGTGACCAGGGAGGATGCACTGAAAGAGGCATCCAGTTCAAAGGCACCTGCAGGAAGCCAAGGCAGAAACTGGCAGATCTGCGGGGAGACAGGAGTGTGTAGGTGGGTGGGAAGGAGTGGGTGCAGAGGTGGTGCAGAGGTGGTATACAGGGTGTGGAGGAGGGGCTGGCTCAGGGATGGCAGTCACCACATGGGGGCAGTGAAGGAATGGGGTTATGGAGGAGAACTTGGATTTCATCTGGGACATGCTGAGTACAGGGATCTGGAGGCATCCAGGTCTTAAGAGTTGGTTTGAGGCCTGAAAGAAAATTGAGTCAGACCCTCAGATCTGATGTGGAGCCCAAGTGGAAGACACAGTTATGAGGGTAACTCGTCCTGCGTCGAGCCAGCATTAGCAGGACTCTCTTAGCTGCCACTCAGCACTTCCACGGCAGTGTGCCTAACGTCCTGTCTCATCCACAGATTGCTGCGTTCTTCGCTGAGTCTCTGCCCAGTGTGGGAGGGCAGGTCATCCCCCCTGCTGGCTACTTCCCGAAAGTGGCAGAGTAAGTAGGTGGGCGGGGCTGCCCCAGGGAGGCCGAGCTGTAATAGGGTTTCCCAACCTTTGTTCCAAATTCCAACTTCAGCCTCACCTGTTTGCCAGATTTTTCAAAGACCCTGAAGAGATAGTGGCCCCTAGAAGGCCAGCCATCTGCCAAAGGCAGAGCCAGGATTCAGAGTCCCAAGACCTGCCTGCTCCTGCTCTAATCCCTCTCACCATTGCCATCCTTCAGCCGTCTGTCCTCTGCTACAGGCACATCCGCAAGGCCGGAGGGGTCTTCATCGCGGACGAGATTCAAGTGGGCTTTGGCCGAGTAGGCAAGCACTTCTGGGCCTTCCAGCTGCAAGGGGAAGACTTTGTCCCCGACATTGTCACCATGGGCAAGTCCATTGGCAATGGCCACCCTGTAGCCTGCGTGGCCACAACCCAAGCTGTAGCGAGGGCATTTGAAGCCACCGGCGTCGAGTACTTCAACACAGTGAGTGAAGGTTCGGGGCCCAGGAACCACCCTGCATTCCCCAGACAGCCCACTTGTCCTTCATGAGCAAAGGCACAGGCCTGGCACTGTGCCACCAAAGACTTAAGATGCTGTCAGGGTGGGGAGGAGGCTATTACACTAGGTCAGAGGAGGAAAAAAAACACACAAAACCTCTTTAAAAATTAGCATCAATCCAAAAGCTGTCGCAGGAGATCATGCCTCGTAAAATATGTAGCAAGAATACAAGAGGCCCTCTCTCCTTCCAGCAGAAGCTGCCTCCTGTTGTGCAAGGCCCTGTGCTAAGAGCAGACTAAGACACATGAGGAGCTGTCACTGATGCATGGTCTAGGATTAGAGTTCAGGCTGGAGGAGGGAAGGGCTCCCTGACCTTGGGCTGCAGGGTCAAGAGCTTGCCCTAAGTGGAGTGGGTCCTCAAGTTGCAGGAGAAGCATGTTCGATGGCACCAAGAGCACAGTTGTATGGTGGGTGAGGGGAGCATTGTCACCAGGGGCCCCATCGTAAAGAGCCGAGGAGTCTGGACTGATCCTGAGGGCAGTGAGGAACCATGGGAAGGTTTCAATCGGGGAGAGACGGGATCTGAAATACACTTTAGAAGGATCTCTGGCAATCAGTGTGGAGAAAGGACTGGAGTAGGTAACCAGTCCAGGCAAGAGAGGAGGAGGCCCAAATCTGGGCACAGGCCACAGGTAAGAACTGGGAGGGAAAGAGAGTTGAGGAGAGGAAGAACTCACTTTGACTTCCCCAAAAAGGAGTCGGTTTGAATTGGGGCCTGAAACATATCATGCTTTGACAAGATGGTCGGGATTTGGCAGAGATCATTAAGGGCAAGGGCTGGGACTCTCGGCAAACTGTCACTCTCTGCCCAGGTGAGCTTGTGCCCTAGATATGCCATCTCTTTGTCCTACTTGAAGTGCACATAGATTATGTCATCCCTGGTTCATGAAGGACTTGTCATCTGTTCCTGCATAGCCCGCTTTTTTTTTTTTTTTT